AATGTGTGTTCTGTGTGAGGTTTTATGGCAAGAATACGCTGAATTATTTTATTATTATGCAATATGTATGTATGTATATATAAAAGTCTATGAAAACAACAACAAATTTGCTTTTAGAAAAAATCAGAAGTTTCTGCATACGATACATTTGGCACTCCAACAAGAGCTCTCGCCGACTACAGCTGTAAAACCATTTAGATTCATCAAAATAGACAGGCCTCTTTAGCTTGGAACCAAGTCTCTGGTGTTTGAAGTCCAACTTGGCTTGTCTTCCAATCGTATCTTCGCTGAAAATACTGAAGCTTTATGAAAGACTCGAAAGAATCTAGGGAATCACCACTGACTGTACTATCTCACTGCCCGCAGGGAATGAAAAAACGGCGCTTTGCTTTAAGCATCGAGCTCCAGTAACATCTCTTCAATGCTACTTCTCATTCTATTTGACTTTCACTTCCAAGCACTGTCTTAAAAGTTGCTTAACTTTATCTAAGTCCCTTGTTTCAGCAAAAAAAAAGTCACTGGTGCTTGTGAGACCACCCAACCAACCGACTGAGGGTAGCTCCGTAACCAGAAAAGGCCTAATCGTTTGCAAATAAGCACTCGAAGGCTCACATCATCCCTTAAGTCCAGCTAATTTGGGGCCGATATGTTAGTTTGGCGCGTGACGAGGGTCTGATTTGACGAAACAGCCGAAATTATAGTAAACCAATGTTTCTTAGGGCTTTCGCTGCTCGTTAGAAAATGCCAAGCTCTACCATCCGAGTGAATTTTTGACCAAAAAATCAAAGATTCTCATACAAATCCAGCAGTCATTCGGAGGACTGTAGCTTCCTCCTTCAAATCGCAAATTATAAACAAAAATTAGTATAAAAAGATGCGGTGCAGGCGCTTTAGACCTTCATTTCTCATTATCCCAGCGAGTGCAGGATTTTTAATAGAAGCAGATTTCGAATTACAGCTTAAGGTCTTGGTGTCGAAATTGGACTATCTTTTGCTTGAGTGTGTTACCATCACCGAAGACGTTCCTTTGTTTCGGATGCCGGCTTGAGCCTCTTTCTAGTTTATATCTCAAAAAATACCGCAATATCGCGCAGAACCTAAATTCGATAGTTCCAATATTTTTTGCAGCTGGTCCTTACGTGAAACTTCTCACTCCTCCGCAAAAGTCCTCACAGTCCTTTTTTCGTTCAAGTTTTATTCCTTTTGTAAATGCCACTAACCGAACTTTTCGACGCGAACTCTCTTCAAAACTACATACATCCTGTCCTCGAGGGTTGGTGTTCTTTATCCCGACTGCATTTTTTTTTTGGAACACATCAAAGGCAAAAGAGTCTGCTGAAGCTGGAAACTGCATGAGACAGCTGAAAGCTCGCTTTTCTATACTTTTTAAAGCTCCACAGAATACTTACATATCTAATCTTACTCTGTCATGTGCATCCGCCGAAAGCCCACCACACTCCACGCCATCGAACACAATGCAATGTTCTCAAAATCCACATAGAAATATAAACGAGCTCGCCGCCATTCCACGCCTTAATCGACATGATTGCCCGTCACCGGCGCTGAGTTGCACACATACCAAGACATACGCTGCAACGCTTTCGCGTGGGATGTGGTTCGAACTCAGCTCGGTTGCTGTTGTTCTTGTTGTTGTGCTGCTGCATTCGTCGTCTGTATACGCTTTACCTTGGCATAGGTCTAATTCGTGCGGGTAAATTTTTATTCTTGTGGCAGGTCGAAAAATGTGTGCGCTCTCCGAGACTAGCACAAAAATGAAAGCATTAAAATTTTCGGCATTCCACCACACGCGCTACAAATGCGTACATACATATGTGCGCGACGTTGTATGTATGTGTGTATGTGAAAGGATATATCCTTGCATTTTCAAAAAGGACCACACTAAATTGAGTGAACAAGCCCTTATTGTCAGCAAGCGAGCGCCGTGCGCCGAACGCCAAGCAACGAGCAACGAGCAACTGTACTCGTACTCAGCCATGTTGTGCTGTGCTTTGACTGAACAACTCAGCGTCTGACTGAGCGAGTGAGTGAGTAAGTGATGTGGCAGGCAGCGATGCGACGTCGCTTCCAATCGGACGCCATAAAACAGAATCGAAAGCCAACAGCGTACAGATGAGAGAGCAATGACCTTTGATGACAAATAAATTCACCACTAATGCATATAAACAAACATACATTTAAGTAAGAGTATGTATGTATGCAGTGCCGTTAAGCGACACAGCTTATGTATTGGTATGTGTGGGTTTGAGTTTAGCGCGCGCTCCTCATGCCAAACCAACTGCTCGGCGCTCCAACTCCAGCTTTGTCGTATTAAACTGTCACTACCATCAAATGGCAGTCGTCTTTGTCGTTGTGGTTGTCGTTGTCTTCGCCCTTGTAGTTCTCGTCATTGATGGAGTTTATGCTGGTGTTGTTTTTGTTGTCGCGCTTGCTTTAACTTGGTTTTTGGACTCGTCTACTGCTGCAACTGATGCCATTGATGACTCTTTGATTTGAAATTATGCCTGCCCATGATGGTGTTCTGGTCGTTTGGCTGGCGCAGCGGGTGATTTCATAGCGCTTTTTGTTGTTGTGTACTCATCAGTCGCATTAGATGTTATAGGAGTTGGGCCTCATTTTTTTTTGTATTATTAGAAATTAAATTTTATACTCCTATTTGCTGCTGTTCGATAAGAGAGAGTCCAACTTTTGAGAGCTTCCATATATGTCAGACAAGAAAGTTAACTTTGCTCAATATTTTTAAAGACTTTTCTTAGGAAACCCATAAGGAAGATGAAGTATGTGGACTGGGCGAAGACTTTGCGAACCCAATTTTCAGTCGCAAACCACCAGAGACTTATAATTTCCGTTGATGAATGAGCGAACCACGAACTGCTTCGGCGAGGTTCGGCAATAGCGAGGCGAGTTTTGGTTTGGTGCATGGAAAGCCGTGGACACTGTCGTGCGAACCATGCGGGTTAGGGGTTCAATAATTTTTTTTTGTTGTAAGATGCGACTGAAATCCAATAGTTCCCGCGACAGTCGGTTCTTTATACCGGAAAGACCTGGTTGTTTATCCTGTTAAGTACTGTCACATCCGTATTATTCACGAAAACCAATTTGGCGAATATTTTTGCGGTTACTACAACAACAACAACCACACACTGTCACACAGAGACTCATTGCACAGAAGAAGGATGTGACAGGGACCCCAATGTTCAGCATCATCTTTACTTCTGCCTCAGCGCTGCCGATATATCTGATCTTTTGTAAGAAGTCCACGTTATTTAGGATGTGGTTCTTAAGATGAATCTGGGAGGCAGCACGATTTTAAGGGCGTGCCATAGACTTAAGTAAGGTTAGATTACACTGACCGATGGTTGCGCCGTACATAGATCCGTTCATTCTTTCTAAAGCCAGATAGAGATCCATCTTATAGCTCGTCGTTGGGGACGTCAACGCCTTAATAACACACTTTAAGATCTTCAGCCTTTAGTTCTTGGAACTGCGAAGCTCTGTGATAACTAAGGCGAGTTCGAGCTAATACCGAATGGAAACAGACGAGGTGTCAGGCTTCTGTTTCGTACTCTGGTGTTTTGGCAATTCCGTGTTGTCACCAAATCCATTCCGTCAGTTGCCTGCGCCCGTCTTTATCGAGTGACATCGCCCTAAATCGCTAACAAACATTGGGAACGGTTTTTTACGCATCATTAGCGCCATCTGTTGTTAATTAAGGCAAATATGGTTTTCGGTTTGGGTCTTTGCTAAACTCAATTGTTGGTTCATAAATATAAGAAGGTCGTTAAATTTAACCTTCTCAAGGTCGCACATAGACGACTGCTCAAAAGAATTATTTATGTTATATTTGTGTTTATATTAGGTCTAGTAAAAAGTTCGTTCGGTTTTTATCTAAGAGATGGCATTATTGTCCACATTACTAGTGCTACGTGTCGCATCATGCCATACTATACGGCGCTGGAAACGTTTTTATCCGCGCCAAAAGTTTGTCTTTGACAGTTTTTCGATTGATTGATTCAGTCCGTTTAGGTGTGTTTAAATTCGCTCTCACTTCACCTCGAAATTTGTGAAGAGGAAAGGGAAAATCATCCAGAAGGAATACCAAGCAGCTCCAATAATAATTCTCAGACCAGGGAAAAATGCCAAGTAATTTGGTCGCAGACAATAAAACAACCCAAGGTTGCGTGTTTTGTAAAAGATTTATTTGCGTGAACTGTACAAAGGAGACACCCATCATAGCCAGTACGTTTACTGTTAAAATATGTTGGCTTAAAAAAATCACTGTTTCTAAGCGCTCAGTTATTAAGTCTCTCCAAAGCAATTTCACCACCTCAAAGATGGCAATAAAATGGAGAGTGATCTTAAACAAAGTCTCGACTGTATGCGAAATGTCTGTGGTTTGAGTCCTTACCAGTCTTAACGACGGCAAATTCTGCACATGACCTGGGTATACTTCTTTCCACAGCAAGATATCTGCCTTATGGGACTCGTGGTAGAAGAATGAGCTGCTTCTTAAACAACTACTGCCGCAGCTGCAGGAACATAGATGAGGAGGAATCGGTGGAACACTACAGCTGTCACTGAAATTTCTTCTTCGTTTGCTTTGCATTGGTACGCATCATTAATCTCCAGAATTTCTGAAGGTGAAAGGAGTCCACTTATAAGTACCAAAATAGATATATCACAACGTGCCAGTGGGCCTAAGTACGCTTGATCAGGAAGCCGTGATCAAGTAACCCGTTAAACTAACGAAGCTGAGGGTTCAGTTATGGCCCGACCCTTTACGAAGGAAATTCGATGCAATCGAGGAAGAGGGGAAGCCAACTTTAATCAGTACTTAATACTTTATTTCATGCACAGATGATCCTATGATGTTTTCATGATCCGAAAACTATAACTGACAACTTCTTCGCCATTTGTCACTCACATTGAGATTCGATCCAATCGCTACCAAGTTCAGTTTAAAATCTTAGCTTACTCCGTTTAACTTATCACAAGGACTAAGTCCTTTACTTTACTACATTGAAATAGATAGATTACAATTTAATATTTTTTACATACAAAAATCAACATTACATATTTTCACTAAGACTATATTAATAAATATTCCAACGCGACTCAGTTGCCAAAGGCCAAGGGTTGATAAGGAAACACTTAAAAGCCTGACATCGGCAGAGCACTCTCCGTCATCTCGTCATCATCGCTACTTCTGTAAAAAAAAATAAAAAAAATATCGATTCATTAAATTCATTTTGCTTTCAAAATTTATACAGGGTTTTCCAATAAGAGCTACTATTTTGGTATTTAAAGAAGTAAGGCATTTCTTGTGATAAATGAACGGCTGTTTAATTCAGTGTATGAAGGAAGATATGCCATTAATAATGGAAAGCAATATCAGCCAAATGACCGCCACGACTATGCTTACAGGACCCTTTCTTCGTAAACTCTTTATGGATTTTTCCAACACCAAATCGCAGAGTGGCTGCTGTATGGCTCCACTAGCTTCAAGATTTTCATCTTTGAGGTCTTGAATCGACTTTGGCTTGATGGCGTAGAGCTTTTCTTTGACGTGGTCTCAAAAGAAGAAGTCCCAAGGTGTTAAATCACAAGATCTCGATGACCAATTGCGATCACCACTTCGAGAGATAACACGGTGCGGTAAGTTTTGCCTTAAAAGATCGATGATTTCACTGCTTGTTTGGCACATAGCGACGCTTTATGGAAGTTAAACGTTGCCCATATCAAGACCATCGAAATTCAGCTACAAGAAATCATTTAACATAGCACAATCCATCCACCTTTATTGTTGCTTCAGCCTCATTTTCGAAAAAGTATGGTCCAATGACCCCGTCGTAGCCTAAATCACACAACACAGTAGCATGTTGAGGATGGAGCGGCTGACCAACAATAAGTCTTGCGCATTCCGAGCCCCAAACGCGACATTTTTGCTCACCGATGTTCGATGGAAATGGGCTTCAACAGTCGAGTTGAGTTTTCGCCGAAATTCCGGATTAGTTTCATGCATTTCAACGACTAGATCAGCAGAGATACGACGTTGTTGATGATCATCCGGCTGGAGTACTTGTGTTAACTGCAAATTTTAGGCCTTGAGACGAAAATCTTTATGCAAAATACGGTGTCCTAACGCTTTTGGAATGCTCAATTCCAAGGAACGACGAGGAATGCACAAATCTGGGGTTTCTTCAGCACTTGGGGATACAGCAGCATTATTCTCAGTTGTTCATGAGCGACGTGTTTTAATCTTTACATCACTAACTTGCTTCAACAGCTCCATTTTTTCCACCAATTTCTGTATTGCCGTTCGACAAGGTGCTTCACGACTACTGAAAACTGCACCATCTCTGCTAGGTTTTCCCCATTTTTATAGTGAATTTTATTAGTCTCAATGCGTAGTTGAAGGGTCTATCGTTCCATTTTTATTACTGACGTAGTTTTCACTTGTCAAATGTCAAAAAAAATCACAGCTTCAGCAGTGACATCTACCGGCATAGCAGGCTATTCAAGATGGTAGCTCTTAATACAGAAAAGAACATGAATAAGGGGAGATACCAAAGTTATTGCAATTGAGACGGATTTTGTGGTTGGGTGCAGGGAAGTTTTTCAAAGAAATTCAATTGGGAGAAAACCCCTTTTAAGGTTGAAAAAAAAATATCTAAAAATATTCCCAGTATTTCAGCGATAATTTGTTTTTCCAAATACTTACACATCGTCCTCAATGCGTCGCAAAAAATTCTGCACCTGATGATTTTGCCCAATCAGAGCGTACAGAGCGCTGAAGCCATGAAAAACAATAAACAAACAAACGGCATAATTAATGTGTGTCCATTCTTCGCGATAATAATTAATGGCGAACGATGTTACGCAGACCAAGAAGACGACGAAGGTGTAGGTAAAGAATTTCCAAAAGGATCTGAAACTGTTTTCAAAGAGAAAATCTCGTTATTAAATACATTTTGAAAAGTCACTCTTACACACCGATTCTCTTCGAGCGATTCTGTGGCTTTTCGTATATTGAAATCTCGCTTCTCGCTTATGTGAATCAACGTGAGTATGTAGAAGAATATGCACAGCACACATGCGATAAATATGGGCGCATAATAGTAGACCATGATGGACCAGTTGCGTGCTGTAAATGAAAAATATATTGTTAATGAGAATTATTTGAAAATTCTATGAAAAAAAAATTGTATAAAAAAAGTGAAAACTAAAAATAGTTAATTTATTATAAATTATAACAAAAATATTATTTTAAAAATTCGTTCAAAATGCTTTTTTAAATCTAGTCTTCATGGGCGTGGACCCGGTCTAAGCGACACATTTTCGGCGTTTACCGACAATTGGGAACGTCAAGTGAAGCCAGTGACTTGGTTCTTCCCACGGAGTGAAGATCTTCATTTCCCTTTACTTCCTCCAACATGTCGAACACACTCAGAGCTGGAGCGGTTTCGTCCATACGAGCTAGATGACCATGCCGGCGTTAACCGCTGTCTTTCAATTCGCTAAACAAAATGTCAATGTCGCCGCATATTTCGTTGCATCGGCTACGGTACTCGCGGTTCGGAATCCGCATAAATCTTCCGCAAAACCTTTCTCTCGAAAACTTCCCCAAAACGCCTCTTGCGATGTTGTCATCGTCCATGCCTCCGCACCATTTAGCAGGACGGTAATAATGAACGACTTGTAGAGTTTGGTTTTCGTTCGTCGCGAGAAAAATAGGAAATTCGATTGGCTACTCATTCTAAATATTGGTGTTGATGCTACTCCCTAGATAGAGTAAAATATCTGCGATTTCAAGGCTTTGAATGTCAGAGAGCCAACACGCGAGTGAGCTGATTGTCTGTTTGATGACTGTTGGATATTTTATCTCGTCTTACACCGCTTCCAGAGACGCTCGCTTCGCTTCCTTATCCAGTCTGGAGAAAGCAAAACTAACAACGGGATTGTAGAGACCGGTAATGTCAATATTCGTTGTTGGTGGGATCTATTGCTTCGTACAATATGCTAGATAGGACCTCGTCTCATTGACGCAGACCATATATAATTGGCGCTTTGTAACCAATTTCCGACCGAGCTCCTCTTCCAATTTGTGCTTTTGCGTCTTGATGTTTTTTATGACGAGCTTTATTTCATGTCAGAAATACATTCGGAGGGGTTGACACTTTTTGGATGTTAGTCCGGCGTCAGGAGTTTGAACCCGAGCCTGCCAAATGGCGGTACGCAATGCTAACCACTCGGCTACCGCGGCTGCGGTGGCTGGTACATACTGGGATTGCATTATAGCATGATTAGATGTTTACCACCACCAGGAATTCCAAAAATTCCACGGAGCACTATCTTGTTCCACTTATATTGAAGATCCAAAGCGCTCAATACATTCCTGACGCAGGTCACAGGGTCACTTTTTTATGGATTGCTTAGAATACACTCTACTTGGAGGATAGACAAAGTGGTGTTCATTTTGAAGGCTCATCCCAGCCTTCCACTCGCATGTCTCACTCAAAGACTAGTTTTATATTGCGGCAGAGGAACCAACGAGAAGCACAGGGACTTACTCTTGAAGTAATGAAAGACCATAGAAAGAGCTATAGTACATTATCTCTGCTCTTCACCCTCAACGGGAGGGAGCGGGGCCTTTGGAGGAAAGTCAACGTTGAAGTCTGCTATCGGCAATTGATTATCGCACTTCCATACCATTTCAGAAAATCAAGCGACTTGATACTCTAGATTCATCAATTATTTACGCCGAAGCTCCTGAAGTTGTGAAAGCTCGTTACCCTCCCTCTCTCGCAGCGATATTACTATGAGCTACAAAGCTGATGAGCTTGCGCTTGAGAGTACATGCAGTTTGCGAGCTTGCAAGATCCTTTTGGCTGAAAGTAGAGGGTACTCCCAGGTCATGCCTTTATTTTGCGAAGAATCCTGCTTTGATACTTTGATGGTACTCGCTTCCACAAAAGTTAGTTGAAAAATAAATCTGTATGTAATTCCAAAGATCATAGCTTGTAGATCATAAAACTTTTTGCTTTACTGTTCTAGGTCTCATTCTTTAGAAGAAATCGGTGCTCCCGTGGATGCCTTTAAAAAAATATTAAGGATCTTAATCTAATCCTGATCAAAACATGGACTTTATCACCGCTATTTTGTCAGAAAATAATAATTAAAAAAATAATTTTTTATAATTCATGTTCAATTAGATAGAAATTCTATTTCTTCTCCCATATTTGTACAAAAACTTAAAAAATTAGTCTATTTTTCAACCTCTAGAGACCCTTTATCCCTTGAGTGATTAGCACTTCTCCAATTATATTTTTTATAACAAAATATCAGCTTTCTAATGGCAGCTAGCATAAATCAAAGTCCAATCTCACTTATGAAAGGCGAGTTACAGTTTACTTAAACCATAATGGATTACTTTTTACTAGACCTAATATAATTTAAAAAAAAAAAACATTTTAATTTTTTCCCCCCAAATTCATAAATAATTTCAAATGTAATATTTGTTGTAAAAAATATATTTTTTAAAAATAAAATAAATTTTTTTTTTTTCAACTTACGATCGAACCAACAGGTGTCGCCGCCAAATATCGGTTTCCCATCATAATCATTATTTGCGGCAAAAATCGACCAACCCACAGTCAGCAGCGCAATGGGAAAGAATATAAGCCAAAACATTAATCTCGACATGATTATGCCATGGAAATGCATATAAAAATTGAAGCTGATAAAGCTCAAAATGTAGAATGACAAGACCACGTAAAGGATGACGCAGGCGGCTGCAAAATATCACAAAAAAAAAACAAAAGATAATTAAAAATTAAGCCAAAATAAAGTTCACTAAATCGACTATAAAGTTTCAATACCGATTTAATTAATCAACTCTTACTCACGTATATTGATGCAGGACCATTGAGAGAACTGCGCAGGATCTGTGAGCGTTAAGTGCGCCATCAGTGAGTATCCAATGATGATGCAGAGCGTGTAGACTTTGATTGCGACGCCATAGAACGTGTTTCGCAAATCAGTGCAGAAGAGGTAGACGAAGAGTATAATAAACATGCAGATGACAGCCAAAATCAAACCTATTTGTGGGCGGAGAGAATTATTCGTCTACATAAATCATTGGTAATTCATCACGATATTTTAGCTGACGGAAACATTAAAGGCTTGTTTGCATACACATTCAGAGACATGTATATATGTACATATATAGCGGTGTACAAATCTTTGTTGCTTTACTTTTTTTCTTAAATAAATAATTGGTAATTTTATTCCTTTAATTGTTTTTTCTTAATTTTTAAATTTAATTTTTTTCATACAAAACTTCTATAAATTATTTGTGCACATTAGGGTGTTTAAAAAAAAATACTAAAGAGTCACATTTCTTAGTGGACACACCCGTACCGACTGCAGAGGCGCAAGGTTCCAAGTATTTATTAACCAAACCTTTTTACGCTTTTGTTTGAGGTCAAAGCAGCAGAGGTCGCCATCATCTGAGACTTTTATTATCTTTTCATTGCAATGGATTTAACACCGAACAGTAAAAAAGGAGCGACACACGCTTTGCTGGTTCGAATAATCACGTAAACCGAGTTGCGTTTGGATGATCAAAAATATTAGGTCAAGTAAAAAGTTCGTTCGGTCCACTATACGGCGATGAAAATTTCTTTATTCGCGCTAAAAGTTTGTCTTTGACAGTTTTTCAATTGATTGACTCAGTACATTGTGAGCGCTCGTCAAAGATGGACACCAACAAAGAGAGGCTAAGTTACGTTCCGGTAATTTCGATGTCAAAGATGCACCAGATTATGCTGTGTATTTGGTTCGAATGGCAAGGAATTATCTACTACAAGCTGCTCCCCCATGGCCAAACGCTCAAATCGGCCCTCCACTGCTAATAACTGGAACGCTTGCAGGTAGTACTCATCTAGAAGAGGCCATCTTTGATCAACAGAGGCCGAATTGTGTTCCATCAGGGCAACGCGAGGCCGCACACGTCTTTGGTGACGCGCCAGAAACTCCAGGAGCTCGTAAGAGAGGTCCTAATGCACACACCTTATAGTCCGGACCTGGCACCAAGTGATTACCATCTTTTCCTCTTCATGGCGCACGCGCTTAATGGTGAAAAGTTGGCCTCAAGAGAGGCCTGTGAAAATTGGCTCTCTAAGTTTTTTTCCCCAATGTGACGCAGCCTTCTACGAGAGGGGTATAATGACGTAGGTATCTCGTCAAAAATCATCTCGTCTCGGACAAATGTACACAAAGTTATCACATTATGAAAAATCAATAAAAAAAACCGAACGAATTTTTTACTTGACCTAATATTTAATTTTATTTTTCTACTTGATTGGCGTTGGCATCGGTTACGCGATTACAGCCGAATCAACAATAGCGCGCCAGTCATTTTTTCACTGAGCCGCTTAGAGGACATCAAGTCTAGCCAGGCCTTACTCCAGCTGATCTGTGAGAAGTGTACGCATTCCAAATGTGTATAGGTCTTCCTCATGCCTTGCTTCCTTCGTCGAATACTTTCAATACAAGAGTGTTCTCATTCACGTAGTTCAGTAAAAAATGCTTTAAGAGCCACTTACTGATCTTGGCGGAGTTTTTTGGTACATTTCAGCGGCAACTCACATAGCCTCTTTGGTCTTCCGATGATATCAAAGTCAAATATAGTAGCATAGAGGCTTCAATTTCGTGCTATCGAAGACAGCTTTAAAATCGATTAAGAGGTGGCGTGTGTCCATCCTTTCCACACAGATCTTTTGAAAGATTTGCTGAGTCTGCAGCCACTGTGTTTGTTCCCGGTGGGGTATAGTCTTTCATACAGTAGGTTCGACAAGATCTTTTATGGAATATACTTTTTTGGATTGGCCAGAGCACATTTGGGTTCCAAACGTCTTTCGTCCGACCATTTCCTTGTCAGTTCTTTGACGCCATATTTAAATATTTCACAGCCGCTTCAATCCTCATGGTACCTGCTCTTCTTCTAACCTTTTCAAAAGCCAACAGTTTTGTTCGCAGCATTGCGTAAGCAGCTTGAAAAGCTGTCCCATAAATCCCTTATACCGAACTACTGATGAGTTCTTTCAGAGATCAGGAGTTCAAGTAAAGTATAAAACCGGCTGTCTGCTGTATAGATCTTTCATATCTCTTGACGGCTGTTGTACTGAGTTTTCAGAACCCTCTATAGCCGTCCGTCTATCAGAAGATGATTAGTCTTGTGAGTTTTTCGATGCAGAAACAGCCAAGTAGCTCATGTATCTTCTTATGCTGAAATTTAGTGCTACCGACAACAATATATCGTATTTGGCAAAGTCGATTCGCCCCAACCCGTTGGGGTGGTGTCGAAGATACCATATTTCGGACCCAAGCGAAGTCGATACGCCTCAATCCATTTGGGGAAGATCCGTCATGGAGGAGTTGTTATTCGACTGTTGTGCCTAATCCGCATCAACTCATTTGGGGACATTCCGTCAAGGAGGCGCTATTATCCAATTGGTGTGGCGAAGATACCATATTTCGGCCGCAATCCATTTGGAGATAGTACGTCATAGAAGGGCTCCTAAAAGTCTTCTTTCGTCACATCCTCCATCTCTTCTGCCGAGAGTTCATTTTGATGCGGTAATGAATATCCCTACCGTACTGCCAGAGCTCGAGTCCTTGTTCGACTAACATTGAAAATTATAGAAAATTCATTTTTCTAATTGCATTCGACCCACGGCAGGGGAATGCCAAGGATTGAAGGTTATTTAAATTGTTTCATATAAATAAATATATTAAATAATAAATTTGTTGGGAAAACATCACGTGTACTTCATATTGAAAGAGTAGCTTGGTGCTAGGACCTATTATTTTCCATCCTGCTCCCCGGTCCTGCCTTTAACAATTCTCAGACGAACATTCGAGTCGCATGCCCACTATGGAGTGGCTACACTCTTATACTTAAATTACAACAATACAACAAGATAATTACCTAGAAATTATTATTTTCCATAACAATTATATTACGGATCACCCTAATATTATATTTATACGAATAAATACATTAAGGAAGAATTATTGACACCTAAATTGCAAATCAATACCGCTATAATGCCACTGTAATTACATAGTGTACATTGAGATTTACATACAAACATATATGTGTACATTTCTATGTGCAAACAAACACACACATACACACACTCAAACGTTTACGTGCATAACTACAAGCAGCAGGCAATAATTTATGAGTGAATTCACAAGGATTGTTATTTGTTTGTACAATTTCGGCTTGTATTTAGTATATGCACATAGATATCTACATATACTATGTACCATTGATTTGTATTTATTTCAAAAACAAAAGCACAAAATCAACAAGTCTTGTTTACAGTTAATTAGTTGGAATTTTGTGCTAAATCGATTTGTGATGTTTTCACTTTGCGCGAAATGCATTTTGCTGGGGAAAACAAATGAAAACAAATGAAAACAGAAATGAGTAAGAAATTGCGGCACTGCTGCTACTCGAAAATTATTAAATAAAAAATATGCAAACAGCAAGTCTTCGTTATATGCATGCATACATACACACATCTACGTATGAGTATATCGACGATTGAATTAGCTGTAAAATAATTTAGCGGTATCTACAAAGGAAAAATAATTATAAATTTACACGTGGCAGGTGTATAAACAAACACAGAGATACATTCAGGCGAAGCACAAAAAAAAAACAAAAAAAAAACAGGGCAAAAATACAACAGTTTTGACCTCGAATTAATTAAAATTTTTTTAAGATTTAAATATAGATTAAAAAACAAATATTTTTTTTGTTGATTTTGCACAAGAAAATCTCTAAAATACAGTAAATAAATACATTTCATACTATTTTATTTTTAATATTTTCATTTAATTAAGTGTTATTTTAATTAAAAACCTTCAAGCCAAAAAAAAAAAAACAAATATAAAAAAAAATAATTTTAAAAAATATATTTTACTTACAAATTGCATACGTCCATGCTTTGGTATCCAAGACAAACGGTAATTTCTTCGGTACGCACGCTAACGGTTGCCATTCCCACGTCACATTATCCACTTGATGTGGTGTATAACAGTAATAATTGGAGAAGAAATGATGACGGTAAGCAATTGTGCCGTTCTGTAATACATAAACAATTAAATAATTTTAATTTTAAAAATAAAATATTTTTTTAATACATATGTAGATTATGTAGTAAAAAGATCGTTCGGGTTTTTTGATTGATTTTTCAAAATATGATAAATTTGTGTACATTTGTCCGATTTACGCCAAATATGCGACGTTTTGTTCGTGAACTTGTTGCCAACGAGATGCCAACTTCATTATGCCCCTCTGTTAGAAGGCTGCGTCTCTATTGGCAAAAAACTCGGAGAGTCAATTTTTACAAGCCTCTTTTGAGGCCAACTTCTCACCATTAATCGCGTTCGCCATGGACAGGAAAAGTTGATAATCACTTGGTGCCAGGTCCGTATTATAAAAAAAATTTGAAATTTTTGCTGGTGACCATCTTTGAAGAGCGCTCACAACGTACTAAGTCAATCAATCGAAAAACTGTCAAAGACAAACTTTTAGCGTGAATAAACACGTTTTCAGCGCCGTATAGTATGGCATGGTGTGACACGTAACACTAGTACTAAGGACAATAACAATAGATATCAAGCAAGTTGAGCTTTGAATACGATTTTTCTGTATGGAACGGTCACTAGTTCACTTTCAGATAAAAACGTTTTCCACATATTGATCTTGGCCACCTACATATGTTCCACATATTAAGCAAAACCGAGCCATCGAACCGAACCCCGGCCCACTTTCCGGCTTCCCCATATGAATTCAAGCCAAAAATTATATTTATTTTATTTTATTTTATTTTATTTTATTTTATTTTATTTTATTTTATTTTATTTTATTTTATTTTATTTTATTTTATTTTATTTTATTTCAATTAAATGTATTTCGTTTAATTTTTATTTTGTTTGATTTGCTTTAAGGGGGGAAGCTGGTCTAGAGCGCAAAAAAGAGGGCATATTTTATGAATTTATTATGACTCAACAAAGGAATCAATCCAAAATCTGTGAAATAGGTTTAATAATATAGGCTTCTTGGTACAAATACAGAATTTTTCGCGTGAATTAATTTCAAAATGGCCACTGTCCAGCAAGGGATCATAAGATGGAAAACCAGCCAATCAAAATTGAGGTTCATCATGATTAAAAAATTTTCTTTTATGAAAAAAAAAAATCGTGACTCGTGACACACCGACCACGCCCGAGTCTTACCTCAAACAATGTCCAATGCACCAATTGATTATCCCGCTGCACATAACGCATACGCTCACACGGCACACCAATATTGACATTAAAATGATCCGCCGTACGCACCAATCGTGTACTACCATTCCCGCCGCGCACCGCCACCTCATGATGATCCATGCCAGTTAGAGCGTAAAGTGCGCTCTGATGTTGCTCATGCTCCAACTGGGTGGTATTCGTCACAATTGCATCAATGACGCTTGCAATGGCAACGCACGTACGCTGCAACGTATCATAATAATGACCCGCAGCACAACAGAAACGTATGCATGGCTTCAGTTTACAAATGCAAGCGCGCAAATGACGTTCCACTTGGATGCGTACACCATCACGTATGATAAAATCGTAGGCGGCGATCCATTCTTGGGGAATGTGGGTGATGCCGAGTCGCTGGAGCAGTGCGGCATTGCTGTTGATCGAGGGTGTGATTGGTGTTGCGGTTGTGGTGGGGCTGAGTGTTATTGGGGCGGGGGCGTCGGAGGCAGTGCTGGTATTTTCAAAATTCTTGCTTGTGGTAGTTTCATCAATAGTACTAGTAGCACTCCTGTTGTTGTTGTTATATTCACCGTCTTCATACCGCTCAACCGTTGCCGACGTTGCACTCGGTGGTTGCTCATACGCCCAGGCGATGCCCGTCACATTGATTGTATCGATAAACGCGCATGGATATTTCACCTCTGCCACACCACTGCCGCTGGCACATGCGGTCTTACAACAACAACTGGCGCAAATGATAATGACGTAGGCGGCTATTAATGGCCAACAACAATACGAACGCCGTGGACGCACAGATTTAATTGCTTTCATTAATGTTGGCGCGCACATTTGAACGCCTTGAGGCCGCGCGGCGCGCAACGAAGACATATTTTTTTTTGCTTGATTTTACTGTTTTATTTTTATTTTATTTTTATTTTTTATTTTTAATTAAAATAAATTCCTTGATTGCAAATGTTTATTTTCACAATTCGCCTTTGTTAAAATAGTAACAACAACAAATTTTGATTGTGTTCACACACAAGAGATAAACAAACACACCCGAACTCCCTCACTCTCATACCCACCCCGGCTGGCGGCGGGAGGAAGCGTTATTTAAATATTTATTATTATAGATTTGCGTTGGCTATTTTGAGCCCACGACGGCTGGCCACACAATGCGACTTCGACAAACGAAATGTTTCACGATTCTCCAGAAAGAATACCACGAACCCGTGGGCGAGCGAGTTTGAATGTCTTTTTCGAAAGAATTCACACATCGACAGCAGTGAAACAAACAAATAAATAACAGGCGAATGAACTGTGTGTATGTGTGTGTGTGTGCTGAAGAGATCAGTGATTTTTTGAATTGATGACAGCATTCATGTGGGATCAAATATGACGACGTTTTTCCGCAATTATCACCTAAATGCACTAACGGTGCAATTAAGACGCAAACACTTCAATGGAAACGCATGGCCACACGCAGCGGGTTCACAAAATTCACGCGCGTTTTCATGTAGAAAGCGGAAAAACTGAAGTGTGCTTCTTTTCCCTTATTCTTCTTCTTCTTCTTCTTCTTCTCGCAAACACTTTTTCAAGTGCACATATGTATGTGAATCATAAGCACTCGTAAACAATAACGGCTCGTCACGTCTTCTTTTCCTTCCACGTCTTCTTCTTCAACTACTTTCACTTTCCTTCCTTCCGTTTTCTTCTTTTTTCTTTTTTTTTTTTAATTTTTTTTTTGTAATCCGTTAATCCTTCAATTGTTCGTCGCTGTCATCACCGTTCACCGTCGCAATGCCAAACCAATCCATTCGTACCGCGTGCTCGCGTTCAACTGCTAACGGTAGTGTCAGTAATCCAATGGCATGACCGCTAGACAGCGGTAGCCCACACACCTTTTGCCGGCGTTTTTAATGAGTACGAGTACGAATGGACAAGGAACCCATGAGGAATTTCGTTGTGTGCTGCTGCTCTGCTTATGGTGGGTGGTGAATTTATAAATAACGAAGCGAGGTGTCGGAGGTGAATGACTTTGGTATACCCAAGGAGTTGAACGGATGGAAACAACCTAATATTACGAGGATGATAATCAATTTATATTTTAAAATCTCTCTTCTTCTTACTTTTTGTAGCTACAAAGCAGCGATGGAAACCTCGACTATGTGGTAGAGTTGCCGAGTGTTGAAGTGCGAAATACGTGAATATGAAGTGCTTGAGGAGTAGGGGGACAGCGGTCATGCTATGAAATTCCATGAGAAACGCAACAACTTGGAGAAAGCTTTAAGACCGGTGCATACTCATGTAGTATTGAAAGAGGTGAATTACCGATAGTTGCCCACAGTTTATGGAGCTTATGAGCTGAGCGGAGGACACAGCTGAAGGACAGTGAGAGTCGAACACCCATTTCGCCAAACGATGACAACTAGGAGGAAATTCGAATGAAGTTTGTTCCTCTGAAGGACAACAATGCGACCGTAGGCATGAACTTACCGACTGAGCTACTCAAATATGGTGTTGTAGAACCGAGAAGTTATATGAGTCAGCTTCATAGAAAAATTTAGATGAAGAAAAGCAAGCAGGCGGCCGCATTAACATTTTGAAGGCCATGATTCGAGTTCTGGTTCAACCAACATCCAAAATTAAAGAATCCCAATTTTTCTAATTGCGCTCGCCGCTTGGCAAGGAGTATATTTCTGACATAAAAGAAAAAAAGCTCCTCATAAAAATCGATCGCCCGTTCGGAGTGGGCTTAGAATATACTGTAGGAACCTCCATTTGGTTGGAAAAACATTGAAATTCATCCCAGCAATTCAAGGAGGAGAACCGATCCGCCGCAAATTATATATAAAGCAAACTTGCCGTTTGGAACCCATGTGTGCTCTGTGCAATTCACGAATGGCTTGACTCCAAAGACTGCGAAAATTCTTGTGGTTCAAGACTTCTCAGTGTCAAATATGGGATCCTGCCTAACGTATGGTGTAAAAGACTAAGGTCTGTATTTGAACGGATATGCCTCATGCTGCAAGTCTTGGAAAAGATCCTCGAAAAATGATGTGATTATCATCAGTTCCTTTCCTTTGAAAGAGTCAACGAAAGCATAAAAGGAAGCTCCCTCTACCTCTGCTTCTACGCCGCTATGCCTGAGTTCGGTATTTTCACGAAACTGACGCTGATCAACACCAAAAGCGCCATCAGAAACGGGAAGAGTCGCTTTGAGGCTTTCGCTACCAAACAAGCTTTCAGACAGAGTGACTCTCTATCGTGTGATTTCTTCAATTCGATGCTGGAGTAAATGATAAAAGCTGCAGAGTTAAATAGACAAGGCACAATCCTTTACAAGAATGCACAACTAGCGTTGACTTGACGAGGAAGCGAGGCGAAGGCGTCTGGTAGTGCATTAAGGCAAGACGAAACATCTGCTGTCATAAAACTAGCAAACCTCGCTTTCCCGCCTCGGCCTCCACCTCCAAAGGGTATGCGTCGATTCACTTATCGCTGATATTTTCCAAGTTTTGGCGCATAATAAATATCTGATCAACTGTGGATTTAACAAGTCTTAGGGTACACTTTCACAGAGTGTGGTTGATACGACTTTAGATGCTTATAAACGAGTTCTGTTTATTGTTCGTTGGATTCTCAACTACTCTTAGTTGTACAGTCAGAGGATCGTGACTATCTCATGCAAAATTTCACAGACACCTACTATCATTCAGACACTTAAGTTAAGCCCCTATAGGAAAGATCTTTGCCGATTTGAAGCCGATTATACAATGGTCGAGCTCTTGAGCCCGATTATGTGGATATGTGTGTATGCACACGTACATGATATGCGGACGCATCCAGAGCGGAAGCAGGTGGGGCCACTTACCCGTAACATTTGTAGCGTAGTGAGCGTACAATTTTGTGCCGAGGTCATTTCAAGTTGAGCTGGTATAGAGCTTAATAAGAACCTGAGCTGTATTCAAAAGGGTTACCTTCATCAGGGTTCGCTTTCACACTCCACGGCTTTTATCAAAGAGGGGCATGAACCCCTATTGGTATTAAAATACTTTTTTGAGAAGGAAGCATTTTATAACACATCCCAGTGGACCAAAACCATTTGTGGACTCAATGAGTCTGGTCATTGAGAAAGTTTTACTGCGCTGTTTTGGGCATATTTTTAGGTTAAAGCTTAGAATTCCACAATAAGTTGTGATTTTCTTCCCTCTATACTTTTTCCTACAAGGCTTTCAAGCCATGGTCTAGCATATACGGATATACAAAGAGTTGTATATTTGAGAAAAAAATAAAAAATAAAAAAATTAGCAGTTGAATGCGCCTTTATGCGATACCATCTACCTCGGAATCTCTCTCCTCGAATACTTTTGTTTATAATATTTTTCGAACAAAACGATTTTCAAACACAGCCATTTACTGCCACTTTCTAGACGAAAATGTACATATCTTTGTGTGTGTGTATATATGTTTTGCTTGGAAGATGTCATGGCGTTGAAATTGCACAGCAGGTAAATGGACTGCCGTTGGCATATGTCGCATGAGAGCAGTGGCAATAAATATGCAAATTTTTTATTTATATACATACATAAATATATATGTAGCTATTTACCCCTTGGTGAGCATAAACCAAAGAGCGCTTTTTTTTTTGAATAAATTATTAAATCTAAAAATTTTATTTTATTAAATTTATTTATTATAATTAAAAAACAACATTTCTTGCTGAAAAAATACACATAAAAATTTTTTTATTTTTATTTAATAAAATTTTTTAATTTTTCATAAATTTCCTACAGGGCATTTCATGCATTGACTCACATTCGCCAATGGAAAACTCTTTTCCGTCCTGCTTTCTATTGTTATTTAATTTCCCGTAGTGCAGCGATTCAAAAGCGCTATAAAAGCAATAACTATATTTACCGCTACAGACATACATACCAACAAACCAACATACAATACTCGTACATACATACATATGCATATTCAAACTGACATCTATTAACCGTTGTCCTTTTTGTTTCGAGTACTTCAGGTAATTGTCCGCGTGTCTTCATATTTATTTATTTTATTTTTTTATTTTTGTGTTATTACGAGGGGGATTAACAAAAGTTCGTTAAGTTGACCAGGAAAAAAGAAACAAAAATATAATTTTTGGATTTATTATTAAACTTCGTCTTTTTTCATCATCTCTACATAATCGCCTTTGATTTCTATGCTTTTCTTAAGCCTATAGAGCCACTTTTGAGAACAGTCTTCAAAATCTTGCGTTTTAAGGTTATCCAGTTCAGCATTAATCGCATTCATTATCTCCTCGTTGCTATTAAAGACCTTTCGCTTTTAACTTTTTTTGGAATTTTTGGAAATAACCAGTAATCCCAAGGTGCTATATCTGGGGAATATGAGGCTGGACGTACTTCTTCGATCTCCCAGGATCGTTATTTCAGCAGCGTCGAATGACGCGTTGTCATGTTGTAAAAAGTAGCGCCTTAAATCCTCTTTCTTCCTGTCTTCCAACAAATTTTTGAAAACTTTTGGTAAGCGCTCTTCGATGTACCATTTCGCAGTTGCCGTCTGACTCTTTCCAAGTGGAAGATCAGCTAAGATTTTAGATCGGATGAAGTAAACAAACATCATTACTTTTGCTGCTGACTTTTGTTGCTTAGATTTCACGGGTCGAATTGTCACTGTTGGGCTCCATACCATGGACGGCTGTCTGGTTTGTGGATAGTGTCGTGGATCGTGTCCGATCTGGAATCTTCGGAACCACTTGGAAATAGTCTTTAAAGGCGCTGCAATCGTTCCACACGCGATTTGGCACTCACTGAATATTTGCATTTGGCTGTTAATTACTCCGAAATCCGAAGAGAATCACATGGTGAATTTCTATTTGCGTTGGTGGTGGAATTTCGTCTAACCTAACCTCAACTAACTTGCGTTTTCTCGTCTCAATTTCAGGCGATCGTTCTAACATTTGAAAGGAATACTAATAAAGTAATTACAAAGGATTTGTCATTTTTAGATTAAACAAAAGACAAATTGAAAGTCACCAACTGATCGAACTTTTCTTAATCCCCTCCTGTAATTGTAACATTTTGTACATTTGCTCAACCGACATTTCTCATGCCAGAACGCCATCCATCGTTGTCCACACAGTGTTCACGAGGGAGACATTCGATGGCTGTTAATAACAACTGTTTTGAATTGTTGAAGGGTTACTATAAGAAACCGACATACAAACATACATACATACATGCTTAGTAGGGTTCATAACTCTGCGGTGTAATGGAATTTAGAGTTCATAAGCCGAGTCAGAGCTCAGAAAGAGGTTATGAATGGTAAAATATTTAAGTAAATATGGGGTATTTATGGATCAATCTTCTTCCAGTAGAGCTTGCTAAGTTCAACAGGGTTTACTTGTGAACTTTGAAACTCGTTTGGGGTAACTGCTGCTGCGGAAATATCGAGAGTTAGTTCTACCAAATATTATCCGGAAGCTGAAAATTCCACCCACTTAAGTAAAGTACGAGTTTCATTTTGTTGCTTAAGACCTAGAAAAATCTCTAGGCTTTTTTGCATGTGATCCCATCAACTTGTGGTACGTTAGAGCACTTTCTGCATTAGAGAGTGAGAAAACTGTCCGGCTCTCCCATATAATTTGTTTTCCTTTTGGAACGGAACTACTCTAATGACCTAAACTCCTCCATAACCAAGTTTTCAAAAGCGCGCCCTTCGTTTCTTTTCATTAATTGGACACTTTAAGTGTAGTCAGGTCCTTTTACGCTTGATCCTTCCTCCGAATGGAAGGTCTTTCTCTTCCTCTGCTCCCATCGGTGAATACAATTCACTTCGAAAACTTTCTCGTGATCTAAAGTAGCGTAGCTGCTGTCGGTTAATTCACTGAACTATGTCAATCTCGTCGTATATCTCATCCCTTGCTCTGCGTTACGCGTCGGCACTCGGCGAGAGCTACTCAGTTCTAGGTAGCACCAGTTGGTAAGACTGACCCTTTTAGATTTCACTGCCCTTTGGTGTTGAGTCCATTCTTTTCTCAAGATTCTGCTTCAAGATTTGACACATATGTAATATAGATTTCTTAACATGACCGCCGTCTATAACAACGTGCTACATCTGCTAGCTGGATGGATTTTCTGTCGCTGTAATCTACAATAGTAGTACTGCTGACAGCCATATTTTGTGCCGCAGTAAAGTCGATCAGCCTTAATCCGTTTATATAGATATATTTTTACCCACCTTAAAGTCTGGTTACAGTGTTCATATTTGCTTTCGAGGCGCAGATCAGCGATACGAACTTTGATTAAATGCTATTTTTGGCTCATCCAGCGGTGTGATGGCCAGCATTCGGCGACGGAGTCTCTCTCCCACCACAAATTCCAAATTTGCGCTTCTTTATATGGTACGCCGTAGTAAATCTCACAAGGACCTGCTCCCTTCCGTCCTTGTCCTGTCCATCGCACTTGGATCTTGGATGGCGGTGATGTTAGCCTTTATTCTTACGAGGACATCAACCAGCTCAACAGAGCCACCCACTTCCGAATTAAGGGACTGGTTATTCCAGATTTAGTCCTTAGTACAAAAGCCATAGTCGTCATCAAAAGTAAGAATCCCCTCTTTTTCATTGATTCTGGTGTCTAGGTGTCGCGTCCCAAGCGCATTACGAGAAAAATTCCAATTTTGACAATGAGCCGCTTGCTTCCTCACAAAAATTCACTCACCCTCGCACCTCTGGTGAACAGTTACTGCAAAAAGACTATAGTGAGCCCTTAGCCGCGCCCCAAGGCTCCAAACAGGTTACCACATCGCAGGATGCTAAGGCTGAGTGGCGAGAACCCCTGAGAAGGAAAAGCCTGTATTTGAATACGCAGAAGTAGGACTACACCACCACCACTTGCACTCCACAAGTTATTGGTGTTCAAAATACTCACAAAAGTGATAATCGGTTAAGGCATTCTAAAATAAAGGTTGTAGCTTTGTAAAAACAGATCATGTGATGAATGGATACGTGATGTGATGTTAAAAAAAGGCATTTTTTTCACAAAGTTGTGATGAGAAATACATTCGTTTGTCAATTTCGGTCTAAAAATAGTAAGGAAATGTTCTATTGACTTTGTTTGCAAATAAAACCAGAGGAAACTATAAGTCATGCGCTGTCACATCACCATCATATGATTATGGGCAAAAAAAAAATATTATATCTCATTTAAAAATTGTTTATTCACCGCAAAAAACATTTTCTGCCTTGATCTCAGTTTTAAGTACATATATTAATTATATGAAAATAATTCAAAGTTAAGCAAATCGTATGATATCACCACTACGTCATGTGATATATCGGTCACTCATGTGATGTTGTATTCGTATGACTTACAGAAACTTTTTATTAAACTTAACTTTGATAAAAAGAAAAACTACCAGAAATTATGTGTAATTGATTTAAACTGCACATTTAAACAAACATATATAAATTTAAAAGATGTGATGTCACATCGCTATCAACTGAAATACTATTCTCAACACTTTTATGTCTGATATTTTAATAAAGATAAAACTGTATTTTATTGATTTATTTATATGAAAATAAATGCTGGCCGCTTAATCAGCAGTCGCACCAACTTAACACATATTCCCAGGCAACATACCTCACGATGTGACATCACATCACATTATCCATATTGATTTTATAGTATTTTTTTCGATTGCGATGCAGTCATTTTGCTTATAATTTTCTGTTTTGGTTGAAACGTAATCATAATGATATCACTCAAATAAGCAGATGTTATGATTTCATCATCGCAGCACTTGTTAACGCATCACTTGCACCTTCTTCCTCACTGTTTACTACAAATTTCATTACAAAATACCGAAATAAAAAACTTCTATCCCCTTACATTATAAAGTGCTCACTTTGAGCAGAGCTCATCACATTTATCAATATCTTTTCGCCTACTGTTTGTGAAAAGTTTTCCGATCTACTGAGGAAAAAGCTCTTTTCGGTTTAAGTGATGACAACAACCTTTACTTCTGATTTAAAGTGGTGGCTAATGTGTTGGCTTATATATATATATAGCTGAAAATAGCAAATTTGTCAAGCTCAGAAAGCTTTCAAATATAATAAAAAAAATTAAATGGTAGTCACCACTTGTTGGCGAGAGTACGCGATAGACAGTCGAAATAAAAGCCAGTTGAAGCTTCTCTTCGCCCTTTATCGCCAATTGGAGATATCTCTTCCTTAACGTAGTCGTTCTCTTTCGATTCGCTGATACCTTTCTGTAGAAAACCTCTATGCGATGACGCATCACATGTCGCCAACGCATAAGCTTCTGCAACTTAAGGGAGGATGGGAATGATTATCAACTTGAGAGTAGACTTTAGAAGCGATATTTCGTCTTTTTCACATTCACTAGCAGACCCACTCTCTCCGGTTCCTTGTGTAGGAATCGAATGACACGGAGAGCACCGTCTGGACTTGGGGCACCACTTTTATGGTTACTCAGCGCCAGTTCTTTGCCGCCGTTTCAGAATAGCTCAGCGGGCGAGCAATAAGCAGCGGCCACTTTCTTATTCTCCCAGTGGGCGATCGCTATTCGAACTTCCTCATAGTCTTTTAATCGGGGTTCGAGTTTGCAATTGACTGAGATATCTTCATGACCGCAATTAAGTATGCTGGAGAAGTGTGCTCTTCCATAACTCTTGCATAATTGTGCTTCGATTTCGAAACCTTCATCAAGGTTCCTCATCCTTTCGTAGAACTTTCCAGCATTACGCGCTTGTTGGCCAGCTTTTTAAGCTCTCAAGAAGACGCAGCAAAAGTCGAGCTGAAAATTGACTGTCTGCTGTAATTGTAGCTTTACAACAACGAATCATCTAATTATTTTTTGACCGGCAAGATACGAATCGTTGCTATAACCTAGAAGAGAACGCACATCTGAAACATTGCAGACATTTCTTTCGACCCGGTGACCGCCAAATAGCTAGATGGCCCCGTCGAGGCCGATCAGCTCCAAATTAGAAAGGTTTCGTCCCGCAAGCAAAATTTTCTGACTAATCACTAAAAAAAAAATCCAGGAGACTGAGCAGGCTCCCACTATAAAGAAGATTTTAGCATCTTCTCCCGCTCCGTTCTATGGCCACTTTAGTACATATCAAAAAAACCGACTCGGCCAGTTGAACGCATTTCCTAGACGTTGTTCATATCAGCCTTTACATTTCCAAGGATATCAATTAGCTGGGGAATGTCATATTTCCAGTTAAAGGAAAGAAAATTAAAACAAAAATTTGGCAGTAATTTTTAATATCAAAATGGAGCCGAAAAATAACACACAAATATTAAATGGCAAACTTAAAAATTTAATGATAGATATATATATTTTTATTACCAGTTTTAAATTTAAATATCGAAAAACAAAATTTTGAAATTTAAAAAATTATTAAAAAAAATATTTAAAAAAAGATTTTTTTTTTAATAATTAAAAATATTAAAAAGAAAAATAAAAATAAAATCAGTTCAGAGAAATACTTTTTATAAACACCAACCGATTTCAAATTCCTAGCATTATATGCATGAATGCGTGTGTGTGTGTGTGTGTGTATTTATGTCTTTTATAAATTTTTACACATAGATAAGTACAACTTCAAATTAAATTTAATACTTAAAATACTTAATACTAACAAGCTTAACATTTACTTTTAATGAAGTACAACAACAATATGACACATTCACAATATATTTAATTCATATATATATATATATATATATATATATATATATATATATATTTTATATTATATATCTATAAGTGTAGTATATTATTTTTAATCAATGAAAAACTAAGGCCGCATACTCGTTACGTATATGATTCTTATGTTTATAAATATTCTCAATATTTTGTGATTTTTTTTTGTCCTCTTGGTAGCCCAAACATTTCTGTATACTCCGCTCCCATTTTTTGTTCACATGCATTTCAACTTTATAATTATTTGTTCAACTCAAACTGTTCTTTTCCCGTTTTCTTTTTCAAAATACTTGTTATTTGTAAATTTGAAAGCATTTTCTTTAAATTTCATTTATTTATTTTATCTCATTATTTAATTTCCTCCCCATATCATTTGTTCATTTAATTTCTTGTGGTTCGTTCGTTCGGCATCATTAGCGGCCTCTCAGCAGGACCTGCAGCCGAGAGCGTTAAATTGCCAACACTGCTGGACGTTGTCTTTGTTGAGTATTGACTCTGGCGCTGGTTGCTGCTGTCACGTGTAGACGAATAGCTGCAGAAGTGGGCGGGAAGAGAGAAAGAAATTATATTAATAAAGGTAATAAATTTATATACTTTTGGTTGAAACACTTTAGATGTGTGTTTTAAGAAGCTAAGAAAGAACAGCAACATAAATTTTCAAGCTACACATGCATACACAAACCTGACAATTAAATACATATATACAAATACAAATAATGAAAAATTAATGAGTGTTTAGTGTCGTGAACGTATACGCAACATTTAATGATATACAAACATTTATTTTTAAATATTAATTTTTAATAGTTCATTAGCCACTGCCCCGTATTCTGGTGTTATTTATAATATTTATATATATAAATAAGTATATTGGTGTTAAAATAGTCGAAAGCTATAAGTAGTCGTGCACATATCATAGTTTTGTGAGAAATATGTTAATAAGCTGAGTGGAGCATTCACCTAGTATTGTAATTAAAATTGTAAACTGTTTTATTTCATTGTAATTTATTTTCAAATTATTTTATTTTATTTCATATTATGTTATTTTATTTCATTCATTTTTATTTTATTTTATATTATTTATTTAATTTCATTTTATTTAATTTTATTTGTTTTTTATTTTATTTTATTTTATTTTATATTATTTGATTATATTATATATTTCTTTATTTTAATTCTTTTATTTCACCTCTTTTATTTTATATTATTATACCTTGTTTTATTGAATTGCATTTTTTTTATATAATTTTATATTTTTTTATTTTCTATTTATTTATTTTATTTTATTTTATTTTTCATTATTTTATTTTATTATATTTATATTACTATATTTCAATATATTTTATTCTTCAATTTATTTTTATTTTATTCTATTTTTATTTAATATTGATTTATATTATTTGATTATATTTTATTTCATTTTAATTCTGTTATTATTATCTTTTATTTTATTCTAATATGTTTTTTTAAATTTATTTTTTTGTATTCCATTTAATTTCATTTTATTTTCTTTTAATTGTTTATTTTATTATTTTATTTGGTTTAGGTTAATTTATTTATTTTATGATTTTTTATTTCATTTTACTTGATTTCATTTTTCATATTAGTATTTTTTTATTAATAAAACCAGATTCTAATTTTTTTGTGTTAAAATAATATTTTATTTTTATAATTGTTTTTGCGGCCTGCACTTTTTTATTTCTTGGTTTTAGAGAGCGCATTTAATGGTTGCTTGTTAATAATGAATTGAATAATACAATAATAGATTACAAGGCTGATATTGTTGCTGTTAAGTTATTATACGTTAGTTCAATCCCTACCAAAAAGAAGTCGAATGAGGAGATGTGCTGATCTCCGAAACAGCTGTCACTTCCGCCATTTTTATTTTAGCTCATATCAATATATTATTTTAATTGATTTCATTTTATTTTCTTATTATTATTTTTTGTTCATTTACTAATACTCATTTTCCTGAAGTTATATTATATATTATTATATTTTATTTTATTTCAATATATTTCATCTTTCTTTATATTAATCTTTTGCATTATATTTAAATTTTTTTTATTTTACTTCTTTTTTAATATTTAATAAAATAAAATGAAATTTGGAAAATTGAATTAAATTATCAATTTTTTTTTATATTTTATTTTGTGTTATTTTAATTTTTAATTTTTTTCTCCCACCTTTTTTTATTTTATATAATTTTCATTGTTTTTAATGCATTTTAGTTTCTTTAGTATAATTTTTTTTTTTCAATTTTTATTTTATTTTATTTTTATATATTACGGAATAATAGCAGGTTAACATAGCGAAATGAAATAATTTGTTAGTAAGACTTTTAACTAAAACCCCTCATATATTTTTTATCTCAGATTTAAATCTAACCATAGATTCAATCTAACCTCAAATTTAATTTTTTGTTTTTTTGGGTAGGGGGTTTGTAGATAATATACCCAGATAATCTAGTATTTATATGTAATTCAATATTTAGCTTATGATTCCAAAAGCTTTTTTATAATATTTGTGATTGTTTCAACAATAAAATCAGAAAAAGTTCTTAAAAATAACTAATTGCATTAATTAATTGGAGAATTTAGGTGACACAAAATGTAAAATAAAAATTTACAGTAATTGTTATAGAAATTAGTAACTTTATTAAAAAAAATAAATAAATGCAATATTTTACTACAAAAGAAAAATGGGGGTTCACGTGTCTAGATTTTACTCGAGCACTAAACATGGGATTTACCACAATACAATAACACTGTTATAGGGTAATACTATTAATTTTTTAGAAAGCAGAAGAGGAAGTCGATATTAGTTCAGGTGCTTTAAATGGTGCAGGATAAGAAATTTTACTATTTATAGGAATTTATCGATACCTGGCGATTTTTTAAAGAAAATATCTCTGAAACTATCTTTGGAAAGATGGTTGGTTGCATCATTCCTCATTTGTAGGAGGTCGAATTAGTGTAATTTCATTTACTACAACTCATATGCCGCACTTTGTTGTATTTCTATTGTATTTATAAATTTTTTTTCCGCAGTTTGTTAATGACTTTGATTGAACGTAGTAGAGTTGTTGAAAGTTCCTACTTTGATTATACACTACAGGTTATTTACATTTTAGTACACTGCAACCATTAGTTTAATTGCCAAGCAACTGGCTAATCCAACTCCATGCAATGATGCCAGAAGAAGACTACCCATACGCTCTAAACTACTCGTTACCCATGTGTCTCTATTTATTTATTCATTCATTTACCTCTTCGCTAGAATCGCCCATTGCCATGCGGCGCATGCGCTGATGATATCATTTTCATTGCGTATTTATTGGGATTTTGACTATAATCGTAATTCGTCGAGCTGGTGGAGTTTGTGTGACTTGTACCCGGCGGCCGGCGCTTGAGTAGGCTTTCGAGAAATCAATTATAAATTTTATTCTTTTGCAAATCATTTTTTCATTTTTTTTTTTTGTTTTTTTTTTTTTGTTTTGATTTTGGTTTTAGTGTACAAGACAACGAGCAACAAGCAACGTTATGAATTTGGGAATTTTTAGTATTATTATTATTATTATTATTTTTTTTTTTTTTTTTTTTTTTGTTTACTCTACAGCAAGTATGCAGAACAGTTGGCTACTGGTTACATTTACAGTTCTTACATAACTACATATATACGGTCCATTTATAAGCCAATTTTGTAAGTAAAAATTAACAATAATATTTCTGCTGGCGACAGGAGTTTGATTGGAGTTTGGAAAATGCATGACGGGAAACAGAAATGGCAGGCAACAGGTAGCAGGTAGCATTTGCTTTAACCGAATTTTGTGTTTTATTTTGTGAAAAGCAGCTGCAAGTGTTTATTTGCATGGCATAGCATAGCAGCAGTAGCAGTTGTATGAGTGCATTGTTTGCTAATGTGGCGGCGCTATGTTGATCACTGCGACCTGCTTGCTGTCGCTCTTTGTATTAGTCACTACACTCATTCTAATGGCGTACGAATAGTTATAAAAAAGAGAATAAAAAATTATAGAAAATATGGGTGAGTGTGGAGAATACTATGAAAGTAATATTAAATGAGCGTTTTCAGGTTCAAGGGGAGGGTGTGGTGTTAGTGGCGTATTTTAGGTTAAGTATACAGTAGAGCCCATTCAAAATGGACACAAGAATATTGAAAAGCGTAACTTCTTAAAAATTTCAATATTCCATTGTCATGGCAATGAGTTCTACTGTATACAGCTGATTTTTATATACTCTAAATAGTATAAACATATTTCTTATATTTATTATTTTAGTTAGCTAAAAAATTTATATTCCAAAGATATTTACAATGCTTTACAAGTAATAGCCTATACTAGAGTAAAGTGTTTCGAATATGCTGAAATATAAGTTTTTTGAATTATAATTATGTAAATGACTGGTATGCGTGTCTATATGACTATGTACAGATGTATTAGGGTGGCCCAAAAATATTTATTAAAAGTTTCATATATCCAGCTTAAGGAAAAAAATATTTTTGAGTTAAATATAAAACTAAATAAAACAATTCTTAATTCAAAATTAAAGGTTTCCAATGTTGTATGAGCGAATTAAGATTTAAGTTAAAATTAATATTAATATTAAATTTAATAACGAATAAAATTTATAATTAGAATAAAAATTAAAATTAAAAATGAATTTAACATTCAAAATAAAATTGCAATAAAATTTAAATTAAAGTAAAAATAAAATTTAAAGATAAATATAAAAATTAATAATAATTATTTATATTTAAACTAAAATTGAATTTTAAATTGAAATATAAATTAAAATAAAGATTAATATTGAAATTGAAATTAAAAAAAAAAATCAATATAAAATTACATTGTAATTAAAATTAAAATAAAAAATGAACTTAACATTAAAATTAAAAGGAAATAAATATTTAATTCAAAAACTATAAACTAAAATTAAAATTTTATCATAATTAAAAAAGGATTAGAATTAAAGCAGAGATTAAAATTATAATAGAAAGTATATTTAAAATAGAAATTCATAATTGTTTTTAATATTAAAAATAAAATTAATATTATAATAATTAAAATTGGATTCAACATTAAAATTTAAATAAAAATTGCCGTTAAAATTAAGATTTAGGTTAATACTAAAAGTAATATTAAAATTAAACTTAAAATTTAAATCACAATTATAATTAAAAGTAAATTTAACATCTAAGTTAAAACAAATATTGAAAATAAAAATTAATATTTAAGCTAAAATTAAAATTAGAATTAAAATTATAACTAAAACTATAACTAAAATTAAAATTAAAATTAAAATTAAAATTAAAATTAAAATTAAAATTAAAATTAAAATTAAAATTAAAATTAAAATTAAAATTAAAATTAAAATTAAAATTAAAATCAATCTTATAATAAAAAATGAATTTAAAATTAAAATTTAAATCAAATAAGATTGAAATTTTAATTAAATTTAAAATTCAAGTTGATATTCAAATTTGACTTTAAATTTAAATTAAAATTAATATTAATATTGAAATTAAAATAAATTGTCTTTTCGATATTTATACATACGCAGAAGCAAAATTCAAGCCACCCTAACATATATGAATGTACTCGTATGCATGATTATACTGATTTTTAAATAGTAATTTAAGCATATAGAATCTTTACATGTTTTAGGCGAGATGCTGGATGATGCCACTTTTGATGCACTTTTTTACTTTATATTGCGAAAGCGAAGTAATTCAGCTACCCTAATGTTAAAATATATTTTTGCGGTCTTTTAAGCAAAGCTTTTATAGATTTTCAAGAGAAGAAAGAAACTAATTAAAAATTTTTTTTAATAATGTTGGGCTGCTGCTGTTTAAAAATATTTTAAATGGTCCCAATTAAGAAAGCGTTCAGGATGTACCACATTTGTTGCTTAAGCTCAATAGATGGAGAAGAACTTGTAGAAGAAATAGAGTAAGTTGATGAATCATCTATGGCTTTGGTATCACTATAATGCACCTGCTCTCTCTTCATTGCATATTCAGGAGTTTTCGGCTAAAAACAACTCTATAAGGTTGACCCAGCCTCCATATGCGATAGACGTGGCTTCCTGTTATCTTCTCATATCTCTAAAAGTAAAGAAACCCTTAAAGTGTCATCGTCCTAGAGCCATGGATGACATTAAAAGTGGAGCGTTTCTTTAAGAGTTGGTCCTTTTTTACAGTGAATGAACAGATTTACTGCGGAAAAGCGCTTGCAAATCGTTCAAATTTATTATAAATAAAACTACTAGTTCGGTGCGTCCAATCGCCAAATCGCCCAACAGAGTCAGTAATTCGTGTGTACCATGGATCGGTTTAGTACCACGTTAACTCTATTGGATAAAGCGCAACCTCAGAGACGCGGTACAGTGCGTACCGTAGACGCTATTGCTGCACTGGAGCTGAGCATCGTATACGATCCGTGTAAGTCCGGCCGCCCATACACTTTATGGAAGATATTGTGGGAAAGATGAATACTAGATGCTCAGCACGTTCGATGAATGGGGCCAACACGAGATGACCACCGGCTCCGAATTTTACAAGGAAATTTTGTTTGGCGGTGAAAGTCAGTTCTAGTTGAATGGGTACGTTATTGAATAACGTTTGGAGTGATGATAACACACAAGCCATTGTTGAGACGTCATTACATCCTCAGAAAGTCGATACATGGTGCACTCTACAGGCAGAGGGTATCATTGGTCGATATTTCTTCAAAAAGGAAGTCGGTCATATAATGTCACAGTCAATTGGGTAGGATATAAAGCTATGATTACTGACTTTTATGTGCTTAAACCGAGGGTTGTTAATGTGGACGACATTTGGTTTCAACAAGGCGGGATTTTTGCCATACATCGAACGAAACGTTCAGTTATTGAAGTAAACTTTTAGTTAGCGAACTATCCCGCTCCATGAACGAGTGGCCTAGCCTCCCAAGTCGTGACATTTAACAAAGTTAGACTATTTTTTGTAGAGTTCTGTGAAATCGCTTGTCCTCGTAGATAAGCCCAAGACAACTGACGCCTTGGAAGAGAATATTCGGCGCGTTTCGCGCACATACAACTCCAATTGCTGCATAAAGTCGTCCGAAATTGAGCTGGAACTGATTCGAGCTTATAGAGTTGCCAATGAAATGTGAAAGAAACCAAAAATTATCGATGAATTAACTACCAAGTTTTTCTGATGCATAATATTAAACGGCTTCCCGTTGGGTTTCGAATTAAAAAAAGTCGTTTCATGGCTACGATGTACCTACTCTAGGAATCAAAAGTTCGAAAAAGTCTGAAAGCATTTACTATTAGTACCGTTAATGTTTTACACGGTTTATGGAGACATATTTACAGCTGGATATTTTCGAGTTCAAAGCAAATATCCTTACAGACGACATAAATTTCTCACACATTTACGAACATAGCCACGAATATTACTAATATTATTGACAGAAGCTTACTAACGATTTTCGAATTTCGCACGCACGAACAACTTCAAAACGCTTTGGAATGACATTTGGTTTTATGTGCTTAAAATTGTTTAAAAAAAAATTATTGCTAAAATTTTCTCCTTAATTTTTTTCTTTCAAATTACACCGCATGTGAATGCATAATATTATTGCCGTTAGTGTTGACACGATTTCGTCTGGTCGTCGTGGTCGCATTGAAGGCGCTTCGTATAACAACTAACTGTCGTATGTGCAGGGAGACATTCTGGAAACGCCGACGCATCGAAATGCTGCCAGCGCCGATTGTCGTGTCTTCGGTTTGACGGTAGCTACGTATGCGCACGGTGCTTTAGGGTACGAAGTGCATTTCAAAAACATTTTTTTTTGTGTTTATTTTTTCGGTTTGAATTATGATTTCGTTTTTTGTTTTTGTATTGATTTTTGATGAACGGTGTGTTTTTTTATGATGATGAAATTTTACAATTTTACAAAACAAAACAAAACGAAACAAAATATTAGAAATTATTCAAAAAGGACATGGTAACAAACAAATATTTGTTTTTTGTTGTTTTTTTTTTTGGGACAGGACAATTTAATTTTTTTTTTATTGTAAATTTAGTAATAAATTGGAAGACTTCTTAACTTACCGATTCGTTATTAAATGCTTGACCTTCTTCTTCATTACGAATAGCATGAATATAAGGAATCCTTGTATGGCATTGCATATATCCGATATGTAGAAGATCTTTGCCCAACCCCTGTCAGCTCCGACGAAATATGAGAAAATCTCCATAGACCATGTGACGCCCATGACCATGAAGAGGCGTAGAAATAGACCGAATCTGTGGAAAGGTGATCGAGATGAATGTTTGAGAGAAATATTTAACTTAAATTATCTATGGAGCCGCACTAAAATTCAGACGCCTTCGTTGGTGGTCAATCCCATCCAGAAACAGGCAAACTTTGTCAATATCGTGGAGATCATTTAACATGAGATCCACGTAAACAGCTATTTCGACAAGCTCGAAAGGGAGAGAGAGAGTTAGAGAGCGGAGAGGGAGTGAGAGTTAGAGAGCGGGAACGAGAGAGAGAGAGAGAGAGAGAGAGAGAAAGTTAGAGATAGGGAGCGAGAGAGAGAAAGTTAGAGATAGGGAGCGAGAGAGAGAGGGAGAGAGAGAAAAAGAAAGATACAGAGAGGGAGTTGAAATGAGAAAAAGATGGAGAGAGAGAGAGAGAAAGATAGAGAGAGGGTAAGAGAGAGAGCGAATTTTAGAGAGAGAGAGCGAGAGTTAGAGAAGGAGAAAAAGAGAGAGGGAGAGTCAGAGAAAGAGAAAGAGAAAAAGAAAGAGAGAAGGAGAGAGAGTTGCAAGATGTCTAGCTTTTATTGGACATGCAGAAAGACGGTTAGTTTCGTGCGGGGTGTCTTGGCATGTCGGCCCAAAATTAAATATGTTGCAGTTAAGTCTGAAAAGGTTGGAGTTGAGTAAACTTTATTAAACGGACTTTAATTTTGCCAGTATTAGTCGATTCACACGAGGCAGCTCGGGCTATTCAACTGCTATGAGAGTGAGCAATTCACTGTAAGAAAGTTTTTGATGGTGTTGACGTAAACTCTGTGAATGGCGTTAAGGGCCTGGTGATACTTCGTTTATCCAGTAATTCGATTCAATGGTTTTCAATGGAGTGGATGGATCGAGGGTTCCCTTTCTGATGTACCAAGCTGGTTTGTGGTTCCGCTTTAGTGATGTCTTTATAATAGAATGCTAGCGGATATTACTTACTTAACATCATGGTTCGACTTTGTAGCTTGGTGGCAATTACAGTCGTATGTGAAGTAATGTTAAAGTATGCAGGCTGGGACTTCCGGTTGTTTATTGTCGATATTTTGATACCACCGACTTTTACATTCAGTTCGAGCCGATGCTCCTCCATTGAGCAGATGAAGCAAGGATTTCACGGGCTCTACGATTATTTTTCCTTGAATGTAGTATTCGGAAAGATCAGGCTTCTAAGCGACCTAAGCCCGCATAGGGCAGACCCCTCTTCTTTCCTCCTACTTCACATCTTAAAAGAAAATGCTTAAACCTTTTCCTCAAAGAAATTAAATGACCAGACCCGTGCAAACCGTGAAGTATCTCTCTTTCTCTATTAGTCTAGTGTCAAAGCGGCACAGTGAAAGCTGATGACAGATCCGACACAGTGAAAATAGACATGCTTACTATCTTCTAGTTAAATGAGTTCGGTCAGCTATCCAACAAAGCCCAATATCCTCCATTCAGCATTCCTCAGATTTTTGGAATGCGAAATGAACTGAGGGGAAAGCATCTAATGGGGATTATGGTGGAAGAAACACTGCTCGGGAGGTTTTTAAGGGAATCTTGGAAGGATGCTCTGATCCAACTTCAGGTTTTCGCAAAAGAACGACAGAACATTAAGCTCTATTCATGTCAAAATAACAGACTAAACAGAAGTATCTCATTTTTTCTCCGTTGTCTAGTGTCTTTCACAGAACCGAATTAGCAGAAATAGATATGCTGAATCTGTTGAAAGTCAATAATTTCGATCAGCGGATCACAAACTACGCATCTGTGACAAGCACACTAAGCTGGAAACGCTCCTCCCACCATTCCTCAACTTTTCAGACCGGGACTTTGGAAAAAGAAATGAAGCGATAGGAGAATATCCGACTTATAAGGCTTTAAATGGCAATCAAGGAAGGATGCGCTGAAGAGGTTTCAGGTTTTAGAATAACACTGAACGAACGGCGTGAGATGCAGCTCTATCGATATCAAAGTAAGGACTTCATTTAAGAATGCTTAAATAAAAAACTTTTAATCCGGATTTGGCAATTCAACAGCGAACCAAAACCAAATACATATCTGAGTGTCTAACCCTTAGTCGCCTTCTAGTCTGCAAGTTCCAGAAAATAAACCAGGGTTGAATAGTACAAATTGGAATTTTACGAATGCTGAAGCGGTTGTCGGCCGATCATTAATATTTTTCTAAAAGAGTAGGAACCTACCGTTTGTTTCAAGCCGACCAACAGATGTTGGGTTTCATGAAAAAATTTTACTTCATATCAGGATGTTGGTGCGCCAGGGACCACAACCAATGAACCAATGGGAAAGTGAAAACCCGGTCAAAGTGTATAAGTCAATACCTGATGGATTGCTCTAGTTCCTCAAATCGAGTGAAAAACCTCAGCTTTATAGTCCACGATATTACAAGGTTGAGATTTCGGCTGAGAGCAAGCTGCCTAAAACAACTCGTACCTAAGTAAAGCAATATTTTTAAACTCACTTATCTTTCTCTGTACGTAAATTCTTTGTGCTATCCTCGCGTGCCATAATTCGTGCCATTTCTCGTTGAACTTTATGTATCTTCATGGCGGTCAAGACGAACATAACACTATTAGCCATAATTATTAGAACAATGGGTCCGAAGAAGTATATCATCGCTGACCAAGTGCGCACTGTAATGAAAAAAAAAATAACAAGAATTTAACTTCAATTTCCAAAGAAGGCAACAAACTCCACAATACTCACTGTCCAACCAACAGTACTCGCCACCACCGATGCCGGGTTTAAAATAATCCGGTATATCCGCTACCTCCTGCGCATACCAAGTGAAGACCAGAAAGGGCACTGGTATACCCCAGGCATACAGAGAATATATGAGAAAGCGTTTCTTCTCCTGAAAGCGATTAATGCCACGCGTGCCACGGAAATTATGCCATAAATCGAAACTGATCACGCTCAGCCAAAAGAAGGCAGCCATGAAGGCGTAATAGGCGACATAACCAAGTGACTTACAGAATACCAGACTAGAGTAGGCATCCAATTGTAGCGAACTCATAGCGAGTAACGAATAACCAATGATGAGACCAATCAAATAGCAAACCAAAGACTTTCCATGTTGATTACGCAGCTCCGGTATGCTCAGATAAACGACAATGGTGAGTATCATGAATGGAATGGAGAATAACATGGCTATGAGGAGAAATAGAGAGAGAGAGAGAGAGGGATAGACAGAGAGAGAGAAAGCGAGATTAGAGTGCGATTCAAGCGTCCTTTTGCCTTGGCTTTACTCACCATATGCATTTATAGTCTTAATCGTGCTATAATCCGTATCATAATTACAGTTAGCCGGATTGATTATATATATGGTATCTGTTGTTGCATTCGCCACCGTCGGATGAAAGCAGAATTCATTTTTGTTAAGATAGACCATATCATACACGCGAAGTAAAGTGCCATTCTGTGGAAATACGATTTTAGGTTTATTGAAAAATTTTCAAATCCTCATAAAGAAAGGTTAAAAAAATTAAATTTAGGAAGTACATTTTGTGGTTTGAGATAGGAACGGATAGGCTGTCTAGACATGTACTCGGATGCCTTCTGTCCTAACGGGCGAGACTCAAAGAAAGTCTCTTGTCTAAAATACTTTAGAAAGAAACTTTCTCTCTTCATCGACAACTTTTTCATAAGATCCGATTAATCGTACCGAACGAAGAACGCGATATACAGAAAGCCATGGGGATAAGAAAACTGGTTGAATCTTCGCTCTTTGATGCTTTACATCAAATGGTACAATTGGAGATTATACGTGCCAGGTGGAAGAGCACAATATGCCAATTTATGAAGATACTCAGTCAGGGACCTGATTAGAAAAGGGATCCAGCGACACTTAAGGCAGACGCTTCAGCTTAATGGGGTTAGATCAATTTTATGCTCATTTAGCTGCTAGACACTAAACTATTAGTCTTTAGCTGAGTTAGAAACACAGTTTTTTGGAATCCTACTGCAGGTTGGTCTATCGAAGGTAGCTGCCGTAAAAATCATGGCTCTAACGAGGCTCGTTAGAGAATCGAAATTATTGACAGCGAAGGCTAATGGCCAAGCTCTAATGTTCAGGTCTGATTGTAACCGATGCATTGGCAGTCAACACACCTTAAAATAACCAAACAACAGCTCTCCATTCGTTTTTTGTTTTTAGCCGTTCGCCGCTTATTGGAGACACCAAGTGCTTTCCCGTTTGACATTTCCAACGGAGTTATGGCCTTTCCCTTCCTCTTTTTCCACCAGTTGTCTCTGCACCAAATACTTTCACAGCTGAAGAACTCTTATTCTTTGGGAGATGTAACCAACGCGGCCGTTGCCTATACAAGGTGTGACAATTAAGTAATGTGATTGATTCCATAAAACCGTATATTTCAAAGTTATTCTACAATTCTGCCATCCCCTTCAAAATAGTCGCATTGGGCAGCTATACAACGATTCCAGCGCGTTTTCTATGCTTCGTAATATTTCTGGAACACTTCGACTGGAATGTCGGCGAGTACCGTTGTCACGGCCGCCTGGATGTCCTCAATCTACTCAAAAGGGGTTCCTTTGACCACTAATTTCGTTCTAGGGAACGAAAAAAGTCACAGGGTTGTCACCCTGGTATCGATCGAATAAGGCGGTTGTTGCAGCACGGCGATTCCTTTAGAGGCCAAATACTGGGACACGCTGAGGGCGGTGTGGCACGGCATGTTGTCGTTATGAAGGATCCAGTTACGAACGATGTCGGGGCGCACTCTGTTGATTCGTTCTCGCAATATTTCGACTGGACTAGGTTAGTGTACGTTTCCGACGCTGTTTCGCTCTTGATTTCGTTTTTCCATTTTCGTGACGAGCGCCACGAGCACGTTTACTCAATACGACACAGCAGGTGAACTAAACAAGCTAGAGCGATTGAAAATATATCAAATGGAGAGGAGAATGATGCTGAGAGGCGTGAAAATGAAATTCAAGGTCGCACGGGTACCACAATCGCGGCAATTTAATCAGTCTCATCACGTAATTGGTACACTTCTTATATTCCCGTAATTATGAAAGGTGGACGAACAAAGACCAAAGACAGCACCCGCCGGTGGAAGATCGGGTAGAGAAGGACCTGGCTGTCTTGGTATTTCTTATTGGCGCCGAAAGCGAAAAGAAGGATAGCAATTTATAACTCATTGCACCAGAGTCTGAGGGGCTTTACGATCCAAGAATCGTTCGCAAAACCTTACTCTCGTTGATCCCAACAGTAACTTTTCAGCTCCGTAAAGTAAGACGGTAATAAACGCGACCCACGGAGTTTGGTTTTTTTTTTTATTTTTTTGTTAATGGTCAATTGTCTACTCAGCCAAGGCCTTTTGGCAAGGCTAATCGGCAATGGACTTCATATTGTTGTTGGTATTACATTTGGCTGCCAGACAGACGGCACCATCTACGTCTTATGTAACAGTCATCCTGTGAAACTTGTTCTGAAAGGCGTCGATCTCGGACCCTTTAAGTCGCGTTACCCGAGCCTCCTTTGCACAACTTTATACTAACTAAACACTATCAATGCAAATACAGTCGGAATTAAACGGTTTTTTTATAAAAAAAAATTAAACATTTTTAACTCAACTCACGTCAAATAACTTCCAATCGTCAAAGGAACCCAATTCCGGCTGCAGCGAAAACATAAATTCGCACGGACGGAAATTCTGCACCGCAAATTGTCGAAACATGTTCACCGTTTTCAAGCTTTCACCCGGCATGGTCAAATTCAACATCGGTTGTGGCCATTCATATTCCGTATCATTCACGCATGCGCTCTCATTGGTGCTATAACTCTCACCCCAAGGACAACAGATATTTATACAGGGTTTCAATTTACACACACAAGCGCGCATATGTGGCTCCACCTCCACGCGTCGCACCATATCTGTGTAAATATAATCATATGTACCGACCAGATCAGATGGTATCAAGAGTCCGTCGTGTAGGTAAGAACCATTGGGGAAGTGTGGATCGCCTGTGACGTTAACGGTGTCGAAGAAAGTACAGGGCACATGCATACCATCGCGTTGATGAAGATTCGCATTGTAGGCGTTGACTAATGGTGGTATGCAGAGCAGCAGGGCGAAGGCGACGCAAATGCCGCCGCCCATTTGTTGAGTTCTCCGCGGTAGCGTTGGTAGTTTGTGTGTTTTTGTTGACTTCATAGTGGAATTTGCTGAAAAGATATTAAAAAAATTATATCAATTAATATGAATATTTAAAAAAAAACAATAATCTTAAATACAAGTCTTTTCGCGATGAAGTCTCTTGTCAAAGAAATACTTTACTCCGCTGGATTCAGAATGCGAGTACGTAAAAGTGTTCAGTTTACCCAGTTTGTATATAAAAACAAGAATACAAATACACATGTACATACATATAATCAACGCAAGACCGTTAAACGATTTCGCACGATGTGATAAAAAACGTCGTATCTTGTGGTCAGAAGCCAAACGCACACTTGCCTACTTAGTTAATTTAGGGAAGTGGAATTGTAAAAATATCAACAAACGAAGAGAAAGACGTCACGCACAATTTCTTTCCAATCATCAACCGCAAAAAAACTTTGATAACTTGAAACTAAATTTACATATTATATATATATATATTGCGGTTATAACAGTAAAGAAGATAAAATTTTCAACACACCTTTATAATAACAATGAGATAATAAAATAAGAAAAATTAAATAAAATAATTTTAAACGATATAAATTAAATAAAAAATGTAGATAGAAATAAGATAGAATTAAATAATGAATTAAAAAAGAAGTAACGTAAAATGAAATAGAATAAGATAAAATGACTAAATAAAACGAAGTAAACTTAAATAAAACAAATATAAGAGAAAAATTAAAAAATTAAATTAAATTAAATAAATTGTTAAACTTAGAACAAAATTAAATAGAATTGGAAAAAAATTAAATTAAAAAAAAAGCGAAATGAAATAAAATGAATTAAAATAAGCTAAATTAATTAAAATAAGTTAATATTAAAATCACTTTTAGATAAAATAAAATTAAAATTAATTAAATAAAATTAAAATAAATTAAACTGAAATGAAACTAAATTAAACAAATAATAAAATAAAATAAAATTTAAATAAAAGAATTAAAAATAAAACAAAATAATATGAAAAATAAATAATATAAAATAGATTAAAATAAAGTTAAAAAAATTGAGTTAAACAATATTAAAATAACTAAAAATTCAAATTAGATAAAATAAAATTAAACTAAAAAATGAAATAAAATTAATTAAAATATACTAAAATCAAAAAATTAATAAAAAAATAAAAATAAAAATAAAATAAAATTGAAAAAAAAACAAAAAATTAAATATAACAAAATAATATAAAAAAATAAATAAAATAAAACAGATTAAAATAAATTAAAACTAAATTGAATCAATAAAAAAAAATAAATGAATTTTTATTCAAATTAGATAAAATAAATTTAAAATAAATAAAATTAAAATAAATTGAGATGAAATAAAATTAAAATGAAACGAAATGAAATTAAATAAAATAAGTAAAAAATAAAATAAAATTAAAAACAAACAAAAAAAAACTAAACCAAGTTAAAATCAAATAAAATAAAATAAGTTAAAATCAAAAAGAGTTAAACAAAATTAATATAAATTAACATTCAAATTCAAATTGGATAAAATAAAATTAAACCAAACAAAACGAAATAAAATGCAATAAAATAAAACTAAAAAATAAAATTAAATAAATTTTAATTTTAAAATTAAAAAATTAAAACAAACTAAAATAAAATAAAATTAAAATAACCTAAAGGGAACTTAAATTAAATTAAGTTAAATAAATTAAATTTAAATAAAAAAACAATGAATAAAAAAAGATGAAATGAAATGAAGGAAAATAAAATAAAGCAAAACAAAATAAAATAAAGTAAGATATTATAAAAAGATTAAATAAAATAAAATTTTTTTTAATAAAATATAACAAAATGTTATAAAATAAAAAAAACAATTTAAAAGGAAGTAAACTAAAATAGAATAAAATGATATAAAATATAGTCAAATATAATACAGCAAAATAAAATAAAACAGGAAACGGCAAGTTTATTTTCGGCTATGCCAAAGCCTTTAATGAACACATCCAATTTATGGCGATTATCTTCAATTCGATTTCGATTATCTTCAAGGTAGCTGCATCGAATACCTACAAAGCTAGAGTGCTTTCATACATTCGGACGATCTGAATTAGGAAGCGAAGACGGTGTCTTTCCATTCCCTAAACTATTTTAATGTCACCGTATAACTCGTACAGCTTCGTCGTACCATCGTCTACGGTAATCGCCATAGTCAATGTTCAAAAGACCATAAATCGTAGGCAAAACTTTTCTCTCGAAGAAACACAGGGTCGACTCATCGGATGTTGACATCGTCTAGGATTCCGTACCATATAGTTCGATGAGAATGATGAGGGATTTATAGGGTTTGGTTTCGGTTCGTCAAGAGAAATCTTTACTTTTCAATAGCATACTATGTCCAAAGTAGCACCTGTAGGTAAGAGAGGTTCTGCCTTGATCTTCTAAACTGAACTTGGGAACTATTACCTATGATGTAGTAATTGTACGAGCTACTGTAGGGAAATACATTTAGGTCACGCAAGTAATGAAATAAACTTAAATGAAACTAAATAAAATCAAGTCAATTATTTAAAAATTAAATAAATAAATAAATTAAGATTACTAAAAACAAAATAAAATTAATTAAAATGAAATAAAACAAATAAAAGTTAAATAAAATAAATTAAAATAAAAAATTTAAAGAATTTAAAATAACAAAATAAAATTAATTAATATTAAAATAATGCTAACTAAATTGAAAAAATAGAATAAATAAAAATATTATAAAATTTATTAATAAAAAAAATGTTAAATTTAATTAAAATGAAATAAAGCAAAAAAGGTTAAACATTATAAAACAAAATAGATTAAAATGAAAATATAATAAAAAACCAAAGCAGATTAAAAAAAAATAAATAAAAATTAAAATAAAGCATAATACAATTTTAGATTAAAATAAAAAATAAAATTAAGAAATTTAAATAGCAAAATAAAATTAATTAAATAAATTAATATTAACTAAAATGAACAAAAAACAAGAAAATATAAAATAGATCAAAATAGAATAAATAAAATTTATATAAAATAAATTAATAAAAAATATGGTAAACTTAATTAAAGTGAAATAAAGCAAATAAGGTTAAAGATTATAAGACAAAATAGATTAAATTCAAGAAATAAAAAATAAAGAACTTAGGCATAAAAAAATTTAGATAAAAATAAAAAAAAATAATTGAAACAAAATAAATAATAAAAATTGAAATTCATAAAAATTAAAAGAAAATAAAATAAAATAAAGTAAGAAAACTGAATTAAATAAAATATGCAATGAAAAGGTAGAATAAAATGAATTAAATGGTGTGTTGAATTTACGAGTATCACGTACGACTCATAATGAATTTATTTAAGCATAAATAAATGCAAGCATCGGCAAATATTCGCATATACATACATTTTAATTATCTTATCAGCAATTAATGCCAAACGGTGAGCTAATGATTCCCTCGATTGAACGTTAATCAAATTAATTAACATTAGCGCATTGATGTTTATATGTATGAGTATGCACTTTAATTTATAAAGAAAAATGTATTAAAATATTTGTAATTAGAAAAATATATATCCGCCAAAATTCTCCAAAATTGTATTGAAAAATTACTTCTAACATTAATTTGATAGATTTTTATTCTACGTATGGCTTAGTTATATACAATAAGAACTAATTAATTTTTTAATTATATCAATTTATTACAGCAATACCAAGGAAGAAAATAAAAGCAAAAAGGAGAGGTAGGGCAAAAAAAATATTATATAGTGAAATTAGTTGAAATAAAATTAAAATAAATTAAAATGAAATGAAATTAAAATAAATTAAATTAATACAAATTAAATTAAATTAAAATGAAATGAAATTAAGTAAAATAAAATTATTTTACAAAACTAAAATAAAAAATAAATAAATAAGTAAAAATAAAACAAAAATTTAATTCAATTAAATTAAATTAAAAAAAAAAATTAAATAAAATAAAACAAAATATAATAAAATAATATAAAATAACAAAATTAAAAAATAAAAAAATATGAAATAAAATAGATTAAAAGAAAATATAATAGAATAAGGCAGAATAAAATTAAATTAAACTAAAATAAATTAAATTAATATTTAAATTCGAATTAGGTGAAATAAAATTAAGCTAAAAAAATGCAATAAATTAAATAAAATTAATTAAAATAAACTAAAATAAAAAAATAAATTAATAAGTAAAAATAAAATAAAAAAATTCAATTAAAAAATATATAAAATGAAATAAAACAAAATATATTAAAATAAATATTGTAATAATAATAAACAAAAATATAAAAAGTTAAAAATAATATAAAAAAAATACATATAATGAAATAAAATAATATAAAATAAAATAAAGTAAAATTAAATTAAATAAGCTAAAATAAAATTAAACCAAATAAATTAAAAAAAAAATTAATTAAAATTAGGTAAAACAAAATTATTTTTAATCAAATAATGTTTCTGTGTATCAGTATGCACTTTAATTTATAAAGCAAAATATTTGTAAATAGAAAAATATATAAATATTTTCGATAGTTTTGTAAAAAAATTGGAAAATTACTTCTAACATTAACTTTTGCGACTTAAATTAAAAAAAATTTTATCGCATGACTTGACTTGTTATATAAGAGCTAATTGAATTTTAAATTATATTACACTATTACAGCAATACCAAGGAAGAAAATAAAAGTAAAAACGAGCGATAAAGCACAAAAAAAAATATTACATAGTGACGACAATTGATGAGCGCCTGCTGTTTGTGATTAATTTGTTTGCAATAATATTTATAATTCATTCAATTATGCGTTCACACTAATTGAGAATGTACGTAATTATGTAATTATCACGAGAGCGTGGGTGAGTAATTCTGACGTAAGAGTGTGTGTGACTCTGACTCTCCTACGTTAACGATTTTAATATTTTAATTACAGTTAGCACAAATGCGTTTGTGTTTGGTTAACGAAATTTCAATAATCGGCCTAAGCAGTGGAAAGCTTTATGGTAAATTCGTACG